GCCTCACAGACCAAGAGACTTGACCACAGTGCTCCTCAAGACTCAATGAGCTCTCTGTTTGGATGAGTGGGGCAGAAATGTACTTGTTGATAAATCTGTTTGTTGATACGCTGAAAATGAATAGCCTACCATTTAAAAAATGTGAAGATTTACAACTTTTCATCATCTCTCATGAGATAAGGCTGATTATCTCTAGAGTTTAGGTTGTTAGCCAGACAGAGCTGTAGTCCATAAAAGATGTATGTCACTGGTTTGTGGACACAGATTGAAGTTGCAGTTTCCACACCGTCGGAGACAACGTGACGGACTAGCTTATCGGGTAACGCTAGCAAGCCTAGGGTATATCACACAGACACAAATACCTGTTGATTAGTAAGGTATTTAAAGAATACTAGAATGTCATTCACTAAAGCATAAACGCAGACCTCTTTGGCATCTGGAAACCAGATTATTTATCAGTTAAAAAGCATTTAAGAAGAGGCTTCTGCGAGGTCTTTGTTGGCTGTTTTTTTTCTCTCCCTTTGATTACTCATATCCTTCATTAGTTGTAACAGTTAATAAGTCATTTTTTGAGGCTATAGCTATGGCTATGGCTATAGGTAATTATATTTGCATAGTCCAGCCTGTTGTTTTTCTTTGGCAGCATGCTGAGATAACCTGAGCAGCAGTATGTAATGCACTCTGCTTCAAGTGAGTCACATCAGCAGCTGTTACAGTAAAGAAATGTGTCACAGTGGTATCAGTTTCGGTGTGATCGAAGCTAAGCGGCCTTCATCCAGAGTCCATGACGACACCTCCGCTGTGAGTGAGTGCCGATGTTGCTGATCAATGTGTTTAAGCGCTATAGCGGATGAAGTCTCGACACCTGGAGTTCACGTGATCTGCTAATGAAAAGTTTCCAAATGTAAATGTAGGCCGACTTGTTATTCTTGTTCAACCTTCAGTTGCCTCTGCTTCCTGCTTCTTCGCAGTGAAAAGCGATGGAAAAGATTTGCTCCGTGTGAATTGCAGTCTCTGTTTTGTCCTTTGCGGCAATCTAGCAAAAGCAAAAGGATGTGAGACTGTCTCACTTTTCTCACTGCTGCTTGTCCAGCTCTCAGTGTTCCTATGAGAAAACGCAGTTTAACCTTGAAGTTGCTGTTTCTGCTTCAGAGTTTGTTTCACGGATCTGCAAGGCTATCGTCAGACCACAATTCCTGCCAAACAGAAACATGTGATTCATCAACAGGAGTGAAAACATAAAACTTACCATGATTGCAGCAGACAGTTTTTCACATGATGGCAGGGTTTTGCAAGCAAACAACTCCATTCCCACAAATTTCCAAGGAATTTCTACACATCAACATCGGACATCAACACTGGTTTGTCGTCTGGACTTCTATGGACTGATGAGGATTGTGTGAAAGGATCTTGACCCTGCACCTGACATGGCGACCTCGGTGTTTACCGTCTGTTCGTGGACTTCTGGGGAGGTTTTAGATCAGCTCTTGCTAATTAGATATGGTGGCACTCAGTTATTGACGTCTATCTATTAAAAGAGGACTCCTTGAGAAAATCGAAAGTCCATTTAAAAATTAAGATAAGTCTTAATCTTCTCTCAATTAGATTTGATGCCATCAACTCACTTGCTCTCTCCAAGTTTCTTCCATCTGTTGGCCCACTGAGAAATTAACTATCATTCGCATCTTGCTTGTATTGATCAGCAGTTCTGCATTTCTGCTGTCTTTCTTCTTATTAAAGTGAATTATTGCAGAATTAACTAAAATAAATAAAAATAAAAAAAACTTTGGCCACTTCTTCACACTACACACAGGTAGGTATTTATTGCACTGTATTAAGCATTATAATTTTAATGAAGTAATGCATTAGTTTAGTTCCGTATCTCCTGTGAGTGATTTCTTACATTCATTGCAGTGTAATCTTTACATGTACCCACACATACATATGCATATAAAGCATACACAAAATCTTTCTTTTTCTACTCTTTAATAAAGCGTACCTCAAAGCCAGACAGTAGAAAGAAAGAACGAAAATGTGAAACGGCAAACACAAGGTCCAACTGCAGTACTGGCTGTAGGCCATAGTGACTTAAAATAAAAGTGATAACTGTAATGTGACTACTAAATTTGGGACCAGGAGTTTTATTGCTGTAACCATTTAGTTACAGCAATGTGCTACTCTTTATTGTTTATATCCACAACACTGCTGGTGGCTTCTGCCCAAATTGGCCTTTTAGATTGGTGTGGTTCAGTAAATAGTGGTCAACCCTCTCGTTTTGACATTAAAGAGGCGTGGTGCTTTTTGAATACTTTGAAAGTTAATTTCCCAGTTTTTAAGCAGGGTTCAGAGAATGACCTCATACCTTTTCAGTGTTTCAGCGTCTCTCCTTGTCTCTGTGCAGCAGCCAAATGGCATTCATTTTTCAGTGAGTCACATCAAGCGATAGTTTGCCAGTGAGGCAACGATAAAGTTGTGATTTAATTATTTGCAATTCAGCTGACTTCACTTAGCTTAAAGGGCTGCCTGCCTCCACCTCCTCCGCTTCCCATCTCACTAATGCATTGATAACTAAATGGGCGTGATGACTCAAAGAAACTCGATTTTACTTTCTGTTTATCAGTGAAATAAATTAGGAAAATTAAATTATCTGACTGAATACACAGACTTAGAAGCAAATAAAAGTAATGCCAGTTTTCTGGTTTACAGCTATCCTTTTATCCTATCACTCCACTCAGATAACTTTATTTTTTTCCATCTGATCCCAGTCTAGTGTCACTGTTTAGCAAAACAGTGAGTCTGACTGGTTTCACTAAATGCCGTGGATTGAGAACACGTTTCAAAAAGTCAAACGCAAGGCTTTCCGAGTACCTTGACAAATCCTACTTGATACCGGCCCTCAAGGAGGAAGTGCTGAATCTGCAGAGGCAGCATGTGGGGGGAAGTCAGATGGTTTGTAGAAGCAAAGACTAAGAAGCTTGTCTTAGAAATGAGAAGTTGTTGCCTCTGGGTTTGACTCACAGCTTTGCTAAAGTCCCGATGATTTTCTTCTTGCTTGCAACAGTTTGTATAAGATACAGGTGTAAACAGCTGGCTTGGACACAGCCAACACTGGATCCCAATGGCTGACTGATGGCTGATCATCCTTAAATATCTTCCTGGGGCAGATTCAACAAAGTGCCTCTCCTGCTCCACTAGATCCCAAAGTGCTCTATTGCATTAGTAGTTAACCATCTATCATGTTCAAGAAAACCGTTCCAGGTGATTTCGTGTGCCATCTTGCTGGAAGCAGGTCACCTTTCCAATGTCTGAACACTTAAATGCACTGAGATGCTGACACGTGATTGGCTAATTAGATATTTGTGTTAAGGAGCTAGAAGTGGTTCATTTCTGAACTGTGTCATGTCAGGTGGCTTTTAAATGGACCAGAAATCTGTTTTACTTTGCAGTAACCTTATCTCTGCTAATCTCATAATGTGTTTCAATGTATTTTTAATCTTTGATGATGATAATCAACAGTGAATTTATGGTAGGTTTATAAAATATTAAGTACATACCTCAGGTTAAGAGGGGTTAAGAGCTATTTTTGCTGGCGACAGGTGTGTTTGATGGGTTTACACAGTGTTGAGTGGTATTATTGAGAGATATCAAAAGCATGTGTGCATTTCCATTAGTTTGCTGCATCCTAAGTGTCTCTTTAGTTATTTCCACTGGCCCATCCTAATTTGGGGCCCCATCATTCATCGGATGTGTTTGAAATCCTCACCTGGTTTCCGACGCTGGAAAGTCGGCGCATAAAGATAATTAAATGTGCGCTCAGTAACAAGGTCACGTTCACATAACAGTCTGGGTTATGCTGAGCTCAATCCATTTAATTCAGGAAATGAATGTTGAATAAAAAAATAAAAGTTTTCCTGTCTTTCTTTGCTCCTATTTAGTCAGAAGTAATACTTTCCGTTTACCGCTTTCAGGTTTATGAGTTTATTTAAGCAGTAGTTAATAAGAAATGCATAAGTGCTCTTGTGCTTTCAGAAGAAGCAACAAAAAGGAGATTTCCTTCCTTCGTTTGAGAGCTCATAATTGAATTGTTTAACACAGGCGAGTCACTGTCGGGGCAGTTTCTTTTGTGTCGATTACTGACAAAAGCCTGACTAACCTGATCACTGAGCCTCCACACTAAATTTTCGCTCATTTTCTCTGCATTAAAAGAGCACCGGAGTCTCTGTCGAATTCCTTTGTGCGATAATCCAGGGGGAACGTTAACACACAGAAGCTCAGCAGACCTGAGATAAATCCTGCCGTCGGGGCCGGTTGCTGTGGCTTTCTCCTCTTTATCTTCGTGTAGGCTTTAACAGAAGGTGTTGAAAAAGTCAGCCTCAGGTCAGCTCTTAGGCAGCAGCAGTAACAGCACAAACAACCAATTTATGTGGCAGTGCACTTCACCTGCGACCTGCTGTCACATAGTGAGTCACTGAAAATCCTATTACCCGATTGCAATATTACATGTGTTAATTAATATCAGATAAGCAGGATATTATTATGTTAATCATGATGACAGTGAGCAGCATTAACCAGCAGGCTGGCTGATTGCTGCTTTTGTTGAAAGAATCGTTTCTGCTGTTGGATGGATGAAATTATATTTCTAAATAATTGTAAGCCAAGGATGTCTGTATGCAATGATGCTGAACAGTCTTTTTATGGGTATCTAATCATATAAATAAAGTTATGTTTAATATTAGTGTCACAGTTTATGCCACCTGTGGCTAATTTAAATTTTGCAATTGCCTAATTTCTATATTAAAAAAATAAAATATTTATTTAATATTTAATTTAAAATATTTAATATTTATACTAATCAGAAATTCTCTCAACCTGAACAGTTTGAATGCAGCTTGCGCCCCCTGGTGGAAGCACAGTCACATCTGTGTTGCGCACCTGCTGTTAGCTCTCACTGTCTCTATCTCTGCTCACACCTCATCTGTCTCTGTGTCTGTGCTGTGCAGGTCTTCCAGAGCAGTACTACAGTCTGACGTGGTTCCTCAGTCCAGTTCTTGGACTCTTGTTCACTCCTCTGATCGGCTCGGCCAGTGACCGCTGCACTCTGCGATGGGGCAGGAGGAGACCGTTCATCCTGGCTCTCTGTATAGGAACACTGATTGGAGTGGCTCTGTTTCTGAATGGATCACTGATAGGTACGTTTTTGGGGGGATTTTTTCTTAATGAAACATTTTCTGTGTGCATTAGCTGAGAAGAGAACAACAGAGCAGTTATAGCAAACCTCACTCTAGGGGTCAAGAGTTCAGGATTTTCCTTTAGCCATAATATAATAGTGTGACCCATAATCAAATGTGTGCCTAATGTAGAACAATAGTGTACGGGGCCTGTACACATCTCTAAATATAACCAAATGAAATGTCAAAGGAGTTATAAATAAGAGCAAGAGGTGTGTGAACAGTTTTCTGTCAGCAAATTCTATTCAGTTTTACTCACATCTATTCTGTTCTGCTTCTATTCTTCTGCAGTGGCACCCGGGTCAATTAAGGGCACCAGGGAGGTGTGTGTGTGTGTGTGTGTGTGTGTGTGTGTGTGTGTGTGTGTGTGTGTGTGTGTGTG